GTGTAGGAATGGCAAATGGTGTAGAATAACATCCCTCTATATATATATATATATATTATATTGTATATGATCATTAAAAGTATTTTAAGTTATATTATAGATCTATGGGAACTCTTCGCTAAAGGCTGATGGCATCTCTACTGAATTAGAGGAAGTGAAAACAGAGTTTTCCAAGTGAGGCGAGGGCCTCCTCTCAAATATAACTATTGTTATAATTTGTTTTTTTATATTAAAATTATTATAAAGTACCTTTATAAATAAAAATCCACATTTGTAATGATTATTGTTGATACTTATTATAATAAGATGAAGTATACTGGTTGTTTGTCCATTAAACATAAATAATTGAAAACTTTATTTTTTATTATTTATTTAAATATGATAACATGTATTGACAATTTATTTTAATTATATTATATAAGTTATGGCGTATTAATTTTAATTTATTATTTTTGACCATTTTACTTTAGTCAATTAACTTATTATTTAGTTTTTGTTAAGCATGATTATCATTAAACAATTAACTCATCAATTAGTTTATAAGACATAACATATCATTTGTTAGTATACGTATTTTTTTTCTTTTATTGTTAATTAATTACCTTTAGATATAAAAATACATTACTTAATTATTAAGGATAAACAATGTCATTTAATTATTTAAAAAACGTAATAATTGTACATTCTTAAGACTGTGTACCATCTATTATGGACATTTATTTTAAACCCAAAAAAAATATTTTTTATGTCAAAAAATTAAATCAAAGTTTTCGACAAACTTTTCTTTATTTTGGGGTAATAAGTGTGTGATTAGCAACCATTATTTATAATTTAACCTCTATTTATCAAATTGCAAAATAATAAATAGATATTATATATATTTTTTCCGTGTGCTGCTGCATATGTTACCCCGTATTTAGATCGAATAAATAAGTACTAACTTTTACGTGTTAATTGTATTATAGATAATATTATTTTAGAATAAGTGAAAATGTAATATAGATTATGTTATATCTTATTTATATATCAAATCTCATTTTTTTATGTTTTATTTTTATACTCAAATAATTATTTAGAAAAATAATAGTAATGTTTATATTAATAAGTATTTATTTATCTTTAAATAAAAGTTAAAAAGTAAAAAAAGAAAAACAAAAGAAAAAAAAAACATCAACATATATGATAAAATGTTTATTAATAATTTATATAATATAAGTGATATAAAAGAAATATATATTTATTAATAATTCATAATATAAATAAATATACATGTTTGTTAATAATTTATATAATATAAATGATAAAAAAAAATTATATTTATTAATGATTCATAATATAAATAAATATATATGCTTATTAATAATTTACAAGAATGGTAGTCGCGCAATGCAGCGAGATAAATCTTCATTTTAATATTTAGATTTTATTCTGTCTCTATTGATATAATACAATTTTATGTGGTTTTGAGAAAACGATAATATTTTTATTTTTGAATGAAATATAAATTTGAAGATAGCATAAAAAATTCAAAAAAATAAAATCGATATTAGTATTAAATTTACTATTTAATAGTTCTTGTTTTTTTTTTGTGTAACTTCTTTAATTTATTTTTTATTATAATTTAATTTAAGTCTAATAACAAACTAATTTATTTTTGGTTTAATAATATAATTTTTATTAAAGATAATAATTAAACATTTTGTTAAAAAACCAATGATTATCTTAATTATATTTTTAGATTTTTTATATTTAAAATAGATGTATATTATGTATTTGATTATGTTTATCTGTATTTAGTTACACAAATTTAAAAATGGAGCTTTAATAAGTTGTACTTATAAAAAATCACTTGTAATCTCGAATTTTAAGTAATATGCATCAATAAACAGTACTTCATGCATAAAAATTGGTTTTTAAGAGTTTTTTTTATCAAATGTTTTGTAATATAGTATAGATATAAATATATATGTTTATTAATAATTTATATAAGATAAATGATATAAAAGAAATATATATTTATTAATAATTCCTATTAAAATATTAATATAAATAAATAAGAGAGGAAAATCTAAAACAAGAATTAATCAATAATTTAAATTAATTAAAACATATAAAACAACAAAAAAGACAAAAAAAAAAAGAATAATTATATAAGATTAGGGGTGTCATTAGTCTCTTTTTTTTTTTTTTTTAATTCACCCAGTCACTTCTTTTTATAGAATTGTCTAATTTGATTAATATGAAGTAATACAAAATTTATTGATGTATCAATTTTAAATTTTACTTGACCTAAAGACAATTTGTACAACAAAATCAAACGTTCACAGTTTACATTAACAACGAAACTAAGACATCTTAACTAAGCTATTTATAAGACATTCTATTTATCGGTTAAAAACCAGTATACATTAAATATAACTTATCTTATACTGTAGGATTGATACCTGGCTTTGTGACATATAAAACAAATTGATTTCTTGTTTTCAAGATCTTTAGTTGCAACCATATTTCCTTGAAGTCCTATAGGAACCATAATTCTGAGTAGGATACACCACAACTTCAAAATCAAATGTCGGGTTGGGGGTACAATAGAGAGATGGGATGGTAGTTTGTGGTTGTGGTGATGGTTGTTGCGACCAAGAGATTTCTTTTGTACGAAATTTATTAATTTCCACATCTGATTTAATTTTAATTTGTTAATTCATCTATTTTGTTAACATATTTGAAAAAAAGTATTAAAACATAAATATAAGAGTAAACTATCATTTTCGTTCCTATAGTTTGTCGTTTATTGCTATTTTCATCCTTGTGTCTTTAAAAACTGCTTTTTTCATCCTTATTGTTTGCCATTTCTTTCGTTTTTCATCCTTACTACTAACTTTCTTAAAAGAGTCTGTTAAATCAAGGGTAATTTTTTCCCTATGATTTCATGGAACAACAATTCCCTTCCTTTACGCCAATGGCAAGGTGTTACTTGCAACTCCGTCACAAAAGAGTTGTCGTCTTGAATCTCATTTTCAGCGGCTTTCTTAGAAAGGTGACCATCTTCATCCTAGCACCTTCCCCTAAAAATCACAACCATAATCAAGATCGAAAACCACCTGAAAATTAATGTGAAATCTAAAATCAACAGTCTTAAATAATATATTTGGTTTCAAATCTTAAAAGAGATTTGGTTTCTAAACAAATCCCATCTAAAAAGAACATATTTTTCTAAAATTGAATAACGTATCCAATGTTGCATATGTAGCCTTCATGGTGAGATTCATTATGAGGTTTTTGTCCCACATAGAAAAATAAGTAGAATCTTACTTGTATTGATGAGCTATATATATTAATATATATGTGATTTGAGGCATACCACTTGTGTCTCACATTGGAAGAGTGGTAAATTCTTTCATGCGTTTATAATCTTTAAACAACTTGTAGAATCGTTTAAGAGATCGAGTTAGCTACATATGGTTTTGCCTTGTGTGAATTTTACACATATATATTAAATGGTTAAAAGATAGCACTAGCACGTTTCGTATGTGGAATTTTGTTAAATTTAACAGTGTTCCATGCTAGTTTTATCCGAGTGTTTCAATAGTTTGTTCATGATTTTCTGATTTGGATAAAGCCAAATGTTGGTTATTTCTTATCCACAATCAGTCGTAAACAGAAACCTATTTATATGTGTAATCATTTGATCTATCTCTTAATCCTCTTATTCTCTTCAATACAATTCTGCATTATAAATACAAGCAGTTAAGGCATAGCCTTCAACAAACAACCAAAACTATCTAAGTAAGACCCAGCACGACCATAAAATCCTCTAAGCGAACCTACATTCCATGATTCTGAAAAACGAGTCCCCTCCTCCATACCGAAAGGCCCATGTGTCTTTTTGTTCGTCAAGAAACACAACGACGAGATGAGCGGAATATTTCCAAATGGTACGGTCGGGACTACTCCAAACGTTCCTTGTATCCCTATTATTTCCTCATCATCATCAAAGTTGATCTACAAACAATAATAATGTCATTAATGCATGTTTGAGGATATAATTTAGACAACTGTTACATGTTAACGGGAAAACCACAATAAAAGAAAAACCAAAGAACATTTGGTAATCATTCAACTGCATGGTATGTAGATGTGCATACAATCCAGATGAATGGTTACAAGATGTTCCTTAGTTTTTCATTTTATTTTAGACCTGGGAAATTGTATAGCCGCTGGGGCCAATAGCACCACCATGTTGTTGAAAATAATGCACCAAATCGTTATTGATATCTTGGGTGGCAAAGGCAATCGAATAGATGAAACTTTGGTGATCTATGAATATCTTTCTCAACTTTTGATGGCTCTCGAGCCGGATCGACCATGGTTCTCCACCTGCGAATGATCCCCATAATCTGGTACTTGTAATATTCTAGCATTTCAAACATCACAAATTTTATGAATTCTACATATAGAATCTAATCGACAAGAAAACAGTGTGGACTTACAGTTTGAAGTTGTAACGCGATTTCTAGTTCTTGGACTATTGATCTCATCGTAGGCCGATATTTCTTCTGTTCGTTCAAGCACTGAAGCGCTATTCTTAAGAATGCGTCCAACGAATCAGGCTTCATTTGTTCTTGTAGATTAGGCAAGATGATTTTGTCTAATGTTTTCGATCCTTCATGATGTTTCACCAATCCAACTAGAAATCTACGCTCGTCTTCGTATTCCCCAACAAATGCAAACCTCCCACATAACACCTCAAATAATACAACGCCGAAAGAATATACATCAGATTCTTTTGAAAGTGTACCGGTCTTAACATATTGTGGATCAACATAGCCGATTGTGCCACAAGCCTTGGTGACAAGAAACGTGTGCGCTTGATTCGTGGGACCTATTTTAGACAACCCAAAATCAGAAATCTTAGCTTCCCAATTCACATCTAGCAAAATGTTGGAGCTTTTGATGTCGCGGTGTAGCACCCTGTGCCCTAACCCCGCACCGCTATGTAGATAAACTAGTCCACGTGCCGCCCCAAGACATATTTGAAGACGCTGCGACCATGTGAGATCCTTGTTTGCCAGATACTTGTCAAGGCTTCCACGAGCCTCATGCTTGTAAACAATGATTTTTTCGCCACCTTCATCAGTGAATCCAATGAGGGTGACGAGGTTATCATGTTTGTAACTTGCAAGCATGAAGATCTCCATCAAGAATTCATGTTCTCCTTGACCGTGCTTCCCATCTAACCGTTTTATAGCGACATTAATGGTTCCTGCTGGCTCACTAGATCTGGTGGAGACCGGGAGTTGGCCTTTGTAGACCCTCCCAAATCCACCATGGCCGATCAGATTATCGTCTGCGAAGTTGTTGGTGGCCAATTTGATGTCGTCAAGTGAGAGTTTGAGGTGGTCTAGTTCTGGAATGTTAGACATGATGCTATTGTGCTCTCAAGAAACATACAAATTACAAGATTTATACAACGATTGTAAATCTTTAATACAAGATTAGGTAGAACTTTGATATCAAATTGCGTTGACTTGGTCCATGCCTGTTAGCTTCTACCAAAGGGTATTTTGGTTTTTACGGATTCTCAACTTTATCTAACAATTCACAGTCAGGTTACAATTCAAGATGATAAACCAAGTTTTGCAAAAATGGAAATCGAATGATATGGAAATGTTCAACACAATCCGAATTAAACGATTATAAACTCATTGCTAGTCGTCTCTTTCTTCTCTTTGATTTCTGTCCTGACCCATCTCCCCCCTCTTGACCGTTAACGAGCTTGATCTATACCCACTTCAGGAAACCGCTCGCACCCAAGACCCACGTTCTTAGGTCTCGTGGCTAAACCCGCTTGAGAAGTCGAAAATCGAAATCGAACAAAATGTAAGGCGGGTTTGAGCGTACCTTTACTCACCGCAGTAGTCGCGATGGTTGCTGAGAACGAACAGAAGCTCCGACGGGTACGGGAATGAGTATTTTTCACCGACAATAGTCGGCCGAGATGATAAGACGCTGGAATGGGACGATTTTGTATTTTCAGTATCCGGTCATTTTAACCCAAACTCGGACATATTTTATATTTTTATTCAAAAGTAAAATAAAAATAAAAAACGGCCCGGAGTGTTTGTAATCCGGTTTGGGTTAAACTGATACATAGGGGTGTGCTCATGATTTGGGTTGATTAGATTAAAGATATTTGAACAACCCAACTTAATGTTTACGGTTTGGAAAATCTAAATTCAAGTCAATCCAAACAAAAGTACAACCCAACTCAAACCATACGGGTTGGTCAGATTGATACTTTGGTGCATAAAAATATTCTTCTAACCTTGAATATATTATTTCTTTACTCATAATTTCTTTTTCATCATCAACCATATAATAAAACTTATCCATAATTCTTATGTATATCACATTCAGTTAATTTTTTCAATTACGTATACATATTTACAGTTACTGAACATATATACAAATGTGTTATATAAAGATGTGAAAAATTGCGATTAAGCAGAAAAATATCACCTCAAAAGGAACCAGTTCACGTCTATAACAATACTTGTATATTAGGTAACATGAATACGTACTAGAAAGATTAATTTGAATATTTGTTGCATTAATTGAGAGAAAGCCTTCATTGTTAAACTAAAAGGGACTCGTTAAGACAAATTTCGTTATATATATAATAAATTTTGTACTAAATTAAATTGCAATTATTAGCCGGATATTTTTAACAAATTAACATTGAGGAAGCAAATTATAGTATAAATAAAAACAACAAATAGATTATAAAAAACAAATTAAACCAATGATAACATGGTTTCTAACTACCAATGGCTCGTTTACTAAATCCTTGTTTGGTAAGTGTTTACCGAGTCATTTTCCTTATCGTATGAACATCCAAGAGTTAATAATCTTATTGGTAAGAGCAATAATAAGGATGAAAAGCCTTACCCAATAAATGTTTACCGAGTAAATTGTTGTATACGATACTGTTTTGATGGACTACAATCTTGCTGGATAAAAGTAAATTATAATATTAATTATTACCGGTAGGTGTTTCCTGTATAAGTCTTTAGATAAACGGCTCTTATATAGAGCTATTGAAGCGAAAAAAGGAATCAAAAGAAGAGATTCAAACCAGGAAAGAGGGTCAAGCCAGCTATGAAGGGAATTGGTCTCATACATACAGTCTATTTTAATCTCATGCCGATTCATGAACTGCATTCTAGAAGGGAATTGATCTGGTACATCTCGATGCATCTCATTAGTGTTGACATTCAATTAGGATTGATCCAAGAATGGAGATCTCTTCTTACATTTCTCACCATAACTTCTTTTTTTACCGGAACTCAACCCTAGTCGTTCATAGGTATTACGGGCCTTACCGATATAATCATATTTTTCTAAAAACCATTGTTACACCTACTTCAAATAATCATGCACATATCGAATATTTGAATATTTAGAACTCAACAAAATTTGCAACATTGGCAAGCAGGGTCGTTTCCACAGGGATTGGATGGAAATAGTGTCAAGCTTCCCCTAACGAGCTTGATTTATACCCTCTTCAGGAAACCGCTCGAAATAAAACCCAAAACCCACGTTCTTAGGTCTCGCGGCTAAACCCGGTTAAAAGTCGCCCGGGTGGAAAATCGAAATCAAACAGAATGTAAGGCGGGCTCGAGCGTGGCTTTACTCACCGCAGAACGATGGTTGCCGAGAACGAACAGAAGCTCCGACGGGTACGGGATGGAGTACTTTTCACCGACAATAGTCGGCGGAGATGATTTACGAATAAGACGCTGGACTTGGCTTTCTCCTTTTTTCTTCACTATTGCGCCTGCTGTGTGTGGCCATCCATTTCTTTGCTGTGGGTGTGGGCTACGATCTTGGGCCTTTGGCATTTGGGCTCTTTTTCCTTCTCTTTTGTCTTTTACGTAGTGCCATGTAGCATGAAAAACCCCAAACAAAACAAGTGGAGTAAGCCGTGGGTTTTATTAAGAAGCATTTGACTATGTATGATCAGTTTTAGTCTTATTTGAGAAATAGGCCCATTCTTGTAAATATGTGAAATATAGGTTCTATTTTACTTAAACCCATCCTTTTTGTACCTATCTATTATTTATTAAATCATGATGAAATACAAGAGATTTTGATGTCGAAATGAGTTCAAATATGCATCTATCAAATACTCTTATACTTTGATCATTGTCCGTTCCAACAATGACTTAGGTTATCACGTTATGATAAAAATGAATCAAACGAGAAAACCAACACATATAGAACTTCATAAACTTCAGATTTGCAACATAACATCAAGTAGTGAGCACACATACTTAAGAAATCTCTCACTCTCCACTACTTAGACGCAAGCTAATCTCAAGAACACACTCACAAATGGGAAAATCAAACCAACACTTGAATCACTCTTTGGGTATAAAACGTCTCTACTAACATGCACTTACCACATACTTAAGAAATCTCTCACTCTCCACCACTTAATTAAAAACATGCTTATAAATCAAAAGGACTTTAAAGGTGTAACGTGTAATCCGCCTTGGGAAACAGTGGCTAAAAACCTCACGCCAAATGGAGAACCCGGTTGAACTACCCTTGAAATGTAAAGCTGCATACGGGGATCTTGAGATATATCCTTTAAAACACATTCCTATTAGATGACCGGGATTAGAAACAGGGCCGGTCCTAAGATTTTTGATGCCCTGTGCGAAAATAATAAAAAAATGCCCCTAAGCCTATTTTTTTAAGTCTACGAAACAACGAAACATGCGATTTTTTACAGAGTTTAGAACCTATTCAAGCCAAATGTCATCCTCATGTTGATTTTTATTAATTATAATAACAAAATACAAGTGGGACATAAAAATCAAAACCCCGAATACAAAATATATAATGATAAAAGGATAAATCTTGGATTAAGATTGTGTTTCCTTCTTTTCCAGTTTCCGCTTTTTCAAATTAAAACTAGCAAAATAGAAATTTTATTTTACTATATGGAACTTAAAATACAAGAAAAACTATAAATTAGTTTTTAGCTAAAATAGTAAATTACATTCAAATAATTGTCATAATGAACAAAAAGTAAAACTCAAAAGTTACAGATTTAACGACTAAAGGCTAATGGCTTATCTGTTAGCAGCTTAATAAGCTTAATGTAACTAACAGCTTATACGCTCAACTATGCATGACTATTTCGTAGTGGCTTAATGATATATAAAAAGACTTATCGAGTAAGCTTCTATGAGGAGCTTTATATAGAAAGTCAAGTTTTTTTTTTCTAAACATGTCCCTTCCAACTAAAAAAACGTTCATTACATCTGTGAAAAAACTCTCCCAAACAAAATCTTTTCCAACTTATACAAACAATTTTATCCATATAAAACTTAATAAAAAAAAACTCAATCAAACAGCCCCTAAATCTAATGTGGTAATGCAAAACCCCAAAGTAAACAAAAGTCAAAAGAACAATAATAAATTGTAAAATACATAATATATGTTACTATGCATTGCAAAGAACAAGTACTCAATAATTAAGACAATACCACAATATGTTGTTAATATTTGCAGTGTGCTCTAGCTATGTTGATATAGTGATATGCTCATGTACATTGAAAATTTCAATTATCAGATATTTGAATATGAAAGAGGAAGACTCATTATCAAAATGACAAAAGCCCCTTAGCCTTAGCCTAGTAGGTTAGTAGCCCACACGACCACATGACCCAACTTTATAATAGTCAGTTAAATTTAGATTTTTTTTTTTGCAAAAAGATTTAAAGATTCAAAAATCATAATATGACTCACACAACAACTCGGTAAATTCAATCAACATTAGAAATCAGTCATTCGAGATTTTCATCTTTGATTTCTTGAATCTAATTTCATGACTGTTAATCGGCTGGAAAGAGAACTTCATGCCGTGAAAATCGAAATAGTCGAACTTTGAAGAACAATAGATATTAGATTGAGTTGTTGGAATGATGGCATTAACCGGTTCACGATGTGCATTCAGTATTTATCACTACGTTTTTATAGTTAAAGCTCGATTGTTCAATTCCCAAATTATTAAACTCAAAACTAGTAATAAATAACAATTTGATGCCCCTTTAGGCTTTGATGCCCTGTACGGCCGCACGGACTGCACGTGGCCAGGGCCGGCCCTGATTAGAAATGGGATATATACATTCACCCGTATCATCCTACTTTGTCGTCTTGCTTTATTCTACTTGACGACATATTTTTTTTTAACGTCTTCTCTTTTCAACAAATAATTTCCATCTTCTAGCTTTCACGGATGCTCGGGTATACTCCATTCGCAATTGGTCGGATGGTAGCGTTTGGATATGTTTAAAGCTAAATATGCAAACTTGCAAATAGACTTTGACTCGGTTTCGGAAAGATTCTTGTTATTTTTAGTAACTAGTTTTAGATTCCAAACAAAACAATGGGTCAATGTATAAAGTCGATGGTTTTGCTAATAGAATACAACTTAGACCCTACCTTTTTCTACTTCTAGTACTCGTACTACAACTTGACTATCAACATGTAATTATAAAGTATTATGTACACACCGCCGAATTTGATTTCAAACTTCCACCTAATCGTCTTTTATTGGAATATTCATATTTTCAAGTCATATATAAAACGATATCGTGGTTCCCTTTTTCTTTCATCAATTCATGTTATCATGTCCATGATTCCAGAACTAAACACCTTCCATATCCCACTTGATCACATCAAATTGGCAACCAACAACTTTGCCCATCACAATTTACTCGGCCAGGGTGGGTTTGGGCGGGTCTACAAAGGCCAACTAGCCGTTTCCGGTGACCCAGCTTCTACTGTTAATGTCGCTGTAAAACAGTTAGATGTGAGGCACGGACAAGGAGAGCGTGAGTTCTTGACGGAAATCGTCATGCTTGCTAGTTACAAACATGATAACCTCGTCGGTTTCATTGGGTTCTGCGATGAAGATGGCGAGAAAGTCATTGTTTACAAGCATGAGGATCGTGGAAGCCTTGATAAGTATCTAGCCGACACGGAACTCACATGGTTGCAACGTCTTCAAATATGTCTTGGTGCGGCTCGTGGACTAGCTTATCTTCATGGCGATGTGGGATTAGGACACAGGGTGCTACACCGCGACATAAAAAGCTCTAACATTTTACTAGATGCAAATTGGGAAGCTAAGATTTCTGATTTCGGGTTGTCTAAAATAGGTCCCATGAATCAAGATTACACTTTTCTTGTCACGAATCCTTGCGGCACAGTCGGCTATGTTGATCCACAATACGTTAACACCGGTATACTTACAAAAGAATCTGACGTTTATTCTTTTGGTGTGGTATTATTTGAAGTTCTATGTGGGAGGCTTGCAGTGATTCAAGAATATGAAGATGTGCGTAGATTTCTATCCAGATTGGTGAAAACTTATGATCCGATGGAAGTATCAGACGAAATCATCTTCCCGAATCTACGAGAAGAAATGAAGCCTGATTCGTTAGAAGTATTCTCCAAAATTGCTTATCGGTGCCTGGATGTCGAAAGAAAGCATCGCCCAACGATGAGATTAATCGTCCAAGAACTAGAAACCGCGTTGCAACTTCAAACCGTATGTTATCTCGTCTCCCTTGAAATTAGATTTAAGATTAGAATTTGAAAACTTAATATGTGTTATTTGATGCATGGTAGAATATCAGAAAGACCATGTTATGGGGATCAAGCGCAGGTGGATCGCCATGGTCGTTCCGGCTAGAGAACCATCAGAAGTTGAAAAAGATATTCATAGATGTTGATGCAAATTTCATTTATTCGATTGCTTTTGCCATCCAAGATACGAATAGTAGTGATTCAATGCTTTATTTTCAACAACATGGTGGTAGCCATGGCCCCAGTGGTGATACCATTTTTCAGGTTAGCAGCATTTTTGACACTAACTTTAACAATTTTTTATCTTATGGAAAATACCCTTCTTACACTTCTCACCTTAACTCTTAGTATCATGTATGGAATCTTTCATCTATGATCAATGTATCGAATTTATGTTATTCTCAAATATGTATTGATTAAGGAGTTGATGATTGTTTGTAGATCAACTTTGATAGCGATGAAGAGATAACCGGAATACAAGGAACGTTAATGGGACTGTATGGACATCGTACGCTGATCTCGTCATTGTGTTTGTCGACGAACAAAAAGACACATGGGCCATTTGGTAAGGAGGGAGGGAGTCGTTTTTCAGAATCATGGGAGAAAGGTTGTTTCAAAGGGTTTTATGGTCGTGCAGGGTATTACTTGGATGCTTTAGGTTGTTATTTGAAAACTATGCAATGAAGCTTTAATTGTGTTTATAGCATTCCATTTTTTATAAGCATTTCTATTACAAAATGACAGCTGTCATATACTTACTATATATATTGTATTTATATATATTTGTCCAAAATTCATCATTTTGATGTTTCTATTTTTATGTATATTTTAATCGATAACTTGCATGTTGGAAAAAACATAGTCATCTTATCTTATAATATTATACTAGTTTTTGATATAGCACGTTGAGCGATGATAATATATATATATATATATATATATATATATAGGGGCCTAATCAAATGAGAACTAATTAGTT